GAAGCTTGCGCTCGCGCCGCAATCAGCTCTCTCGCTATAAACTCAGTTGTAATCCAGCACTGGATTTGCTGGACTGGATGAGTGCAAGGACATAACTATTGAACTATTGTAGAATATTGTTCTGTGGAAATCGCCGTGTAATGGTTTTGTAATGTCGAAGTACAGTTAAATCTGTGTTTAATTGATTGGAATTGTTGCTTTTATTATTCGTGAAACTAATGTTTTAAGGCGGATTTATTTACATTCAAGTATGTTTGTGAACTAGTAACGTTATTCAATGTTTTATGATCATGTACTAAAAAAATATTTAGAATAGCTTCGAAGCACTTTAGTATGGGTGTTGTTTTTAAAAATAACATAAAATCTAAGTGACCGCGAACGTTTGTTCAAGTTATTATTTACTTCGCATTCATAAATAAAGTTACTTGTTAAAGTTTTGCTCTCCGCCTTTTATCTCATAGTTTTTTAATATCACTTTGTACTATTTGTACTATCGGAATCTATACTAAAATAATTGTATGAAAGCACACAATTAAATGTAATTGTATATCGTAGGACCATTTATAAAGTAACGGATTTCTTAATGCCTTAAAAAATAGATAACAATCGCTATATCTATAGTGGGAAATATATTTTTTATCAGTTGTAGAGAAAAATGCAGTTTCCTGCATTAGGATTTGAGTAAGTCATGATTAGAGAAAATGAAGAGGAATTGTCAATATAGGTATAGTTTAAGGTCATCACTCATATACACACGTACTAGAGGAAAAGATACTGTCACTCCTCATATCCTTTGTAAACATTTTTGAGTGTTTTTATGACTAAATACATGCCTTATAACGTATAATTTATTAAATCGGATATTGAAAAATCAAATGAAAAAGTATGAAAACCGTAACTCTAGGCTAATGTGCGTATCTGCCAGATCGTAATGAGAGGTAACCTTTACAAAACATGAAAATATTTGTTATTCTTTAAATGGTTACGTTTTCGTAAATATTGAAGAATTAGGTCCTGTCCCAACACTGGCTGATAGGGGCTCGGATAGCTTAATACCACGTCACTGTCAGATAAGGGAACAAAATCTGATATTTCCATCACATATTCTACGTTGAATCAGACAGTTTACGATTAAATTTAGTGGGACAGGCCCTAAGTGTTTGATTTAGTAACCATGAACAGAGACAAACAGCACATAAAATGCCGCATATACAAGTGAATTAAAACTTGATTATTAGTCAAAATATTTAATCCTAATTTTGTGTCCATAATATTCTTTATTAGTATTACAAATGTGGCATATAGTTTTAAGATTTCGTGATAAATCTAGAATAATAATTCTTTTAGTATTAAAATCATTACAAACAGTCAGATATCTAAAGTACAGTGCCTTCCATTGTTTACAACTTAGATGGTAGGTCATCAAGTGCTTTAT